GTGCCCGTGTTTTAAATTGTCTTGGGGGCCTGTGGGGGGGGGGGGGGGGGAGAAATCCTTTTTTCAGTAGTAAAACTACCTCACTGTATAAGAAAAAGCTTTTAATTAAGAAAGACTGGGAGTTGCCTATGTTTCTCTGCAAGAAAATAGAAGCACCGAAAACAATAGGGTTTGGCTGACACGCTAGAGAAGTCAAATACTGTCAAACTGACCCCACCACAGCTTCTTACCGGGTGGGCGTTGTAGTTAGGGTGGCAAACCACAGAGCGCATCCAGTATGATTTCTCAGAGCAAATGGGACAAATGGCTGCCTGCGTTTTGGAGTCTTCATTTCAGCTATAAAAGAGAATAAAGATTTGTCTAAATGTTTATGAGAGAAACATTCATCAGATGCTAAGGTAGGATGAGACACAATGGCTGAGAACCACAACCTGCACTAATAAAAACAGATCGAAGAAACAGGGTAACATTACTAAAAACATTTTAATATTTGGTATCTATTACAGAAATGGTACCAAGCAAACAGAAAGTCTTCCCGTCCATCAACCCCCCCCCCCAGGAACTGAGCTTAATCTACCTGTTCTTTTGTTTCTTCGGATCAAGTCTTACCAAATACTATGCCTCCAGTTTAACTGACATGTAGAAAACCTATCTAAAAACCCAATCATAATCAGTAACTTCACATATACATCCAAATGCTCATAAAGTATTAAACATGTATTCACTTATAATTAGGATTTATGCTCTATTTCACGTGAAAAATACAGGATTATCTGCTACCCTCTTTAAATGGGACTTTAATCCTCGAAGACTGAACAAGTAGAAATATTTTCCTACACAGGATAAAGCCTAGTAAAAAAAGTTAATGCAACCAAAGGTAATCTGGTTTTGTTAAAACGCTGGGACAGCAAAACCCCAGAACAAGAAACGTCACCTACCACGTTTGACTTCTTTCAAGTTTGCATTACTAACCAGCACACAAGAGTTACTCTCATCTTCCATACTGCAGTACATCATATCTGTGAAAATACTTACTGTGTTTGCACAGACACCCCCCCCAGTCAAATTCCACTAACTACTTAAAAAAGAAGATAAATGGCTGCTCCCTAAATATATAAATCTTTTTGTATGAGAAGTAGAAAGGCGGCACACACAATAAATCAGCTGCTTAAAGAAAAGGTAAGACATAAATGAAATCTACTCCACAGAACGTATCTGCAGTCACTCCAAAGGCTGACTGATACAAGGTGAAGTACTTCCCGTTCTGAGACTCGCTCATCCCACCACCACGTGTCTAGCTAAGGATAACTTAAGCACAGGTTTACAGAGGCAAGAAGGGATAACGCAGAGTGGGTAAGTTTTTGAAGGAGTTATTGATGACTGCATATAACTTTCTTCCAAATCACCAAAACAAATTCCTATACACCTTACTTTGTCAGTGGAGACTTCAATTCGATCTCTCGAAAGCTTACAGAGAAAGTTCCTCCCAATTAAATGGCAAGAAGATTAAATTATTGAAAATGAAAACTCTGATTTTTACCAACTGCAAATAAACCAATTTTTTTAGTGTTGAACTTGACTTTATACATTTTTTTGGCTACCTCAGGTTCTACAAAATTACAGACCAGAAGCCAAATAAATGTTTACTCTGGCATTTAAACAGTTGCCAATTTATTTTTTGAGACTAAAAAAAGAATTTTTGGACTATGGCCTGATTTTAAAACATAAAGTTCCAACTTGAGACTACTGCCTGAAAATAAAGACTCTCATACAAGGAGGGGTTTTTTCATTATTCATTTCATCATTTAGTTGCAACACCCACTAGAAGCCGAACAATAAATGTTGAGTTTTGTTGTTATCACACACACAAAAAAACCCTTCCTGAAAAATAACTCAGAAAAATAAATCATCCTATCACTTTCCGTTTTCTGGGGTTTTTTTAAACATCTATGAACTGTCTGCAACCACTCAGAGAAAATGTTTCTAAGGGGCAGCCTAAACGTGCCAAAGATGTAGATTTTTAGAAAGCTTTCTCTCCTCCCATTCATCAACTTTTCTACATGGTGACGTATTTATCAAGTGTGCTGTTTTGTCTTCTATAATGTTAAAAATCTTAAAAAATAAAAATTAAGAATTTTTACTTTAAACTGGATGGTTTTGCCTCTATACTGTACTGTCAAATATAAACCATACAAATTAACAAGATATTTATTATGAATGCCTTACTTCCTAAGGCTTAATGAAAACAGAAAAAACACTGGAAACAGTTCCTTCTGAATGCATCTCAAAGTTCTAAACAGCTACATATATATGCTGAATCAAGCATAAGTATGTACATCAAACATACAGTTGTATATTTTTAGCATATAAAATAAAAAATCTTGTGATTTTATTACACTATTTTTAATCACAGTATACTGTTTCTCTAGAAAAGGGACACTGAAGAGTCAACAATTCATATAACCTTTCTCAAGCAGACAGTCTAGCTGCACAGGATTAGTTATACTTCTCTCTGTCTGAATGGCCCAGAGAGGAACGTAAGAGAAAGACAGGATGAAATACTAAGTTAAGCAGCTTAAAAGCAAAGCAGCTATTATGTTGTTTGGTTTTGGCTTTTTTGTTCGCTTATTTGTCTTAAATACAGGGGGCTGCAAGTCACACACAACACAGTATTGTACAAGAGCCTTTCAAAGAAGGAAGAAACCTTTTTGTCTCTCTCTGCCATACTGTACCTCTAGCATAGACTTGATGCTCTAGGTTAGTCAAACTGGCTGTACTCCTAGTTCTAAGGTAGACAAGAGGAAGGCCTGGCAGACAGGAAAGACAAAGTTAGCAGGTAAGAAAAAACACATAAAGAGAGGTAGACTCTTCCCCACCATGCATCAGGAAAGATACAGACAGCTGGCATCATGCAATTGGTGTATGAGTCTCTACTCGTTTGCTTACACTAAGTTGTTATTTGAATTACTAAAATTTCTTCCAGAACTAACACTGGGAGAAAAGAAGTTGAAAAGACCTGCCACGTACCAAAAGCTATTACTTAAGAGAATTGTTTCACAAATATAACAGCATTTTTTTCCAGAAACTCAGTCACTTAGGTCTTTGAGGGTACAGAAAGAAAAAAGATCACCTCTGAACTGCACACCCTAAACTCAACACTCCTATCTTTGACATAATAGTCACTCATTAACTGAGAAAGTGTGACAAAAAAAGAAAGCAGAGCTAGCAGTGCAAAGCTCTCACTCAAAGCTAAGCAGCCGGAAGGCTTCTGTTTCTAAAGAACTGAACACAATTGAAGAGGAAAATAGCATTTTTGTCTTTCTTTTTGCCAAATATCTGTAATAATTCATTGTATGCTATGAAGACCAAATACTTGTGTTTGCAATACATTAGACAGATAACTCTGTACGTCAGGACTGTTTGAAATAAAATGTGATTAATGAGTATCATACTCTGCCCAAAACATGGTGGATCCACCGAAGAACCCATCCAGTCTTCCAAACTGATTACATTCACTTCTTCGTCCTGTTTACAGTAATCTTCCATCCATGACTGTTTGGTACATGTGTATTGTTCTAGAGGAATACAAGCACAGACAGTAAATGTCTCCAAGGTGGCAGTAACCAAAGTAATTGGAAAGCATATTAAATTCATAACACTAAAGTTACTCCCCTTTAATGGCAGAAGTTTCACTTCACTGCTTTTCGTATGAGTCACGTAAGTTAAAGACAAACAACAGCTCATGAAATCACAGCAGTGTCTTCAAAAACAAATGTTTTTATATTGTTGAGATTTATTTTTTTTCAGACTTTCAGTGGAATTTTATGTTCTTAAGATACTCCTGTGGCAATGTAAGAGCTCTCTCTGAGGAGGCAATTAACCTTAAATATTTACATCTTAGCAGTTTCTAATTTTTTTTCTTTTTAAGAGGTACATGCACATTCCTGCATAAATAACATGACACCAAGAGAGTCCTCTGGCACCGTATTAGTCATAAACTAGCCTTACTACTTGTTATCACTAGTATTAAAAAGTACCATGGGAACTCTTCAGAATCATTAATCAGCGTCTTTTCCTCCCACCTTTGCTCCCTCTTTCTGCCAAGCCCACAGGCCTTGCGGGAGAAAGGAATGAATACTCAAGGAACAAGGAAGGCTCTTCTGTTATATTTGCAAGCTCAGCCGTTACAGAATAAGTAACAGTATTTCTGGAAAAGGCACACACAGAAGCTTACATGAAGTTTGAGTTAATGATCAACATAACACTGTGATTTCCTGAGGTGGGAATTGACAGCTGAGGTTTTCAGAGACTGCAGAGCTGAAATGAGTAGCTCCCCACTACACCTGTCAATGTACTGAAAAATGACAAGCTTCTAAAAATAATTTTAAGTATGGAAACCTGTAGATGAAAGTCCATTTCTGATTAGAAATGAATTTCAAACAACATATGAATTTGATAGAATTCATACGACCAGAGAAAGAATTCCTACTAACCTCTAAAATATGTAGCTCATTTTTACACTTTCAAAATATTTGATAAAATACAGGCTGCCTAAATGCACACCTGTGCACAATATCATCTGAAGCATCTACAGTCTTGTGCCAAATCTGCCTCCCTCCGTCTATGGGACACCAGCAGGACTCAGAAATGTCTGTCACCTCCAGCACAGTGAAAATGAGACTGCATAGTGATGCTCTCAGGGAGTATTCCTACATACCAATGAAGACAGAGGTAATGTTTATATCCAAACGGTGCTTAGCCTTTATTTCCAGCTTCAGACGGGAAGGGTGGAGGCGGCTCGAAGCTTGCTGCTGCCAAGAAACTGCACACGGCCATGGCTCAATAAATGGCTCCCAGCCTGAGAACAAACAGAAAATGTCACATGTATTAAACGTTTGAAGGCAACGCTGGAATGCTGTTTACATACCTAAGCATTTAATAATGCAACTTTAATAATGACATCCTTTACTTTCAACCTGCATTCAAGATGAACTTGTAAGCCTAGAGATTTAATTTACTAGCTAATACAAAGTTCCTCCAGCTCCTCCACTTCAATCAGTGTATACAATGTGTAGAGTCTTGCAGAAACATCTTAATTCTGAGGAAGGCATTAGAAGACAATTACAGCTTCGCTGAAGTTAGCTGGAACTAAGTTCTCTGAAATAGTTTTGAAAATTAATTTCATACAATTATACATAAGTTGGCCTACTATTCAGTATCACAAACAACAAAGGCCTAAAAGCTATTTTAAAAAACCACCCTACATATTTTTGAAAATGAAAACCTAGCTTGGTATTGCCAGATAATTCCTAAGGTTGTTGCCACCAATTTTACAACAGAAAATTTAGTTTCTCAATTCAGAGAAAATACACAACTAGATTATTCTTTTGTCAGTGGTTGACCCATATTGAGGCATAACTTCCTTTTTTATATCTAAAAAAATAAATTATGATGCTCCTCTTATTTTAGTCCATTGTCTTCAGCCTAATTCCTTATGCTCATGTGCTTTTCCCTCCTGAAATAGGCAACAAACTGAATGCATCAAAACAATTAAATACTAAAAAAGAGATGTGAATACAGAGACAGCTAGTTACGTAACTGTCATGTTCTTGGATAACCTTTTTACGCAACTATATTTGAACACTTCAGTGCAACTTTCACATCGGCAATCTCTCTCCTTTCCACATCCCTCCATCTGATACCAAGTTAGGGTATCTTGTCTAGGATCACGTTTACACACACACAGAGGCATCACCACAAAAGACAACCTTTCACATTCCCTTATATGCATTTCATGTTGGGTGAATTTCAGGCTACTGTAGTAGGCAAGGCTGTTTTCCTCATCTCAAGTAAAGAAAACAACAAATCCCCAGTATTTCACCTGAAAGCTCACGATTGTAATAATCTCCAGACAGTGTAAAATGAGCGTAGCCTTCAGGGTTGGCTCTCAAATGTTGGAGAAAATTCAAACCTGCAAAAAGAAGTGAATGTTATACTAATGCAAAAAAATCAAGTTTCCTGATTTTGTGAACTGTTAAGTAACAGAAGGTTTTGTCTTGTCTTTTAAATTGAAATGGTACAAAAAGAGTATCAGAATACTCTTCTGCCACTGTACAATGCCAGCACAGCTGCTCACTCACTTCCCCCCAGTGGGACAGGGGAAAAGAATTGGAAGGGTAAAAGTGACAAAATTCATAGGTTGAGATAAAAAACAGGTTAATAATTGAAATAAAATAAAATAACAATGAAAATAATAACAATGATGATAATAAATTGCAATGAAAAGGAAAACGGAGAAATAAAACCCAAGAAAGAGAAGTGATGCAAATGAAAACAATTGCTCACCACCAACTGACCCATACCCAGCCAGAGCCCGAGCACCGGCCTCCCCGCCAACATTCCCTCTAGTTTTACTGCTGAGCATGATGGCATCTGGTCTGGAATATCCCTTTGGTCAGCTGGGGTCAGCTGCCTGGCTGTGTCTCCTCCCTGCTTCTCGTGCACCCCCCCAACTACTTGCTGGCAGGGCAGTATGAGGAGCAGAAAAGGCCTTGACTCTGTGTAACCGCTGCTCAGCAGTAACTACAATGTCCCTGTGTTACCAACATTGTTTCCAGCACAAATCTGAAACATAGTCCCATACTAGCTACTATGAAGCAAATTAACTCCTTCCCAGCCAAACTAGCACCTTTTCAAGTAACATTTACAGACAGCCATGCTTCACAACGGGGAGTTCTGCTCAGAACAGATTCCATTTGTTATGCGATGTATAAAGGGGAAACCAGAATCTTAACCCTGCATAGACCGTAATCTTCTTAAAAACAAAACGTAAAACAAACATACAAAAATGAAAACCAACCAACCAAAAAAAAAGGACCCCCAAAAACCCAAAACGTCATGCAACCACCACCAGCACCACAACACTGTCAGCTGAAATTCCACAAGTCCCAAGGAACTGGAGGACAGTGCTGAACGTACACAGTAACTGACAGTAACTTTACACAACTCACTCGGCAAAGCAAGATACTCACGTGAAAAGGTTAACTCGGCAAGAGGAACGTCACAGTCCATGCAGTCATCAATAAAGCAAATGCATATACTTTCTGCTTTTATTTCCACTCCAGAGATGAACTGAAAAGGCACAATCCCCTGGCCATCTTGACCAGAAGAGGTCACAGAAACTGATTTCAAAGGTTCAGCATTCTTAAATAACCAACTTGCTGCCTTTTTCAAGTCACCTTAGATAAAACCAAACAACCAATCAATCACCATCTATGTTCTCAATAAAATGTAATTATTTAAAAAACATGCAGAAGCAAACCAGTTCCCTCTCTCTTAAGATGCATGTGTTCTATTCAGTAACATAAATATGAGATTATAAATACATTGGTGTTTTCTAAGAAATGTGTTTTGCAAACCGTGTGGCAACATAACATAAATCTATATTAACACTACAAATGCTTATAAATAAGATGGGAAACATGACAGTGTCCAAGAAAAAGAATCACTTGTGTTAAAGTTTCATCTTCTTTTCGTGTATTGCATGTAGAAGTAGGTAAAATACAGGATTCAAAAAGTGAAAGATGAAAACACATCCTGTAAAGGGAGAGAGATGGACAACAGCAAGAAATAGGTATACCATAAAAGAAAAAAAAAAACCTCAACATCCCAAACCCCCAGACAAAAATACACTGAAACACCCCACACATAACATCCCAAAAGGTAAGAAGAATCTTTCGGGGGTGGGTTCCACACAGTAGTAGAACAGAATAACAAGAATGCTTAAGTTTATATGCCACCACAGAGCCAAAGTAGAGAAGGGAAGGAAATAGCGCCTGTGCGCCAGCTACCTGAGAGTCTAAAAGTTTGTACTTCACTGCAAGTTAGGTAATAGGAACTACCTGCAAGGTCAGCTAAGAATATTTGAGGTTACCTTTGCAGATCAAAAGAGCTTTACGACAATCTTCCATACTGAATCCCAACTCTTGGAGGCGAGCCAGCTGTACCTCTGTAATTGAACAGTTAACCAATTCTATAATTACGACACATCTGTATGAAAAATGAGGTTTTGTTTAAGATTGCAACTGTAGAAAAAGCATATGATTCAGCACTGCTTTTACAAAAAAAAACAACCCTCAAACCAAACCCTTAACCCATCATGTTTACATTCTAGAATGTATGGGCTATTTTTATTCTACTACCGGAAGCCAACCTACTCCATGAATTTTAGTTCAGACTAAAATTTTTTTGTAAACCAACCCTTCATTCAGAACACCATTACTTACTTACTTTAAGCTCCCCACATGATTCTCAGCTGCAGTAGCACAGAAGAAAACCTTCTTTTCTAGTGTGTATTTCCTGATTATTGTCAGGCAGTGGTTCTCACCACACACAGTATTTTGTTTGCAAAAAAGCAATGTCACCAAAACAAAAGATTGCCAGACACGAAGAGATAACTGGTAATTATGATGCTTTCCATTTCACTACCAATTTAGTGAGTTTGAAGAGGTGGTCCCTCTCCCCCTTTACAATTTTGCTACATAAGAAGTACTCCATCATCCTGATTTATAACGACAAGCGATGCTAAATAAAACTCACTATAAAACAACCCTCTGTCATACTACAAGCAGGAAAAAAAAAATCTAGTTTTTTTTTAATAGTATCATCAGTATAACCCTATGATAATTCAAATCAATGACGGGTTTTACATGATGAAGATCAACATCTTTTGTGTTCAGCACATAGTCTAGCTTCACACTCCAGAAACCTTCTTTAGATATACAAAATGGCTTCACCCCATCACTTAAAAACGTACCAAGAACAGGATCCAACACACGTTTGGGTATCTCTTTGTTTTCATGTGTCAAGGAGGAAGTCTCATTCACCAGTGCTGAACTGGAAGGGTGAGCAGGATTTTCAGCAATCGATACAGCTGTGTCAGGCATAGCTGCACTAGTCTGTTGAGGAATTGACTTTGCAATTGCCAAGAACAGTTGAACATCATTGTAGGACAGCCTGATATCCAGGGCTTGCAACTGAATCTAAATGAAAAATTAAAAAACAAGATTCAGATTTCCCCTCTAATAAAAACTAATAATGAGACACAGAAATCTTTTTCTTTCTGCTATTAGTAACTATCTAACATGTCTACACTATCAACCCACTTTTTTCCCCACTATTAATCCTATAATATATCCAAAATCACTCCTCTGTGACCACTAAAAGCACTTTCTGCATGCTTATTTCTTTGCCTTTTCCACTCCAGGAAACACTTATCTTCATCTTTTCTTATACATTTTAAAGTATTCTATTGAATCCTTGGCCATAAAAAAAAAAATCTTTGCAAGATCATGAACTAGTATTCTCTATTGCATATAGTTTTATTCAGGCTATTAAGATTACCTCTAAAATAGGCGGAAAATCCTCACTATTAAAAGCATCCAACAGTCCTGAGCCAATTGAGTAGGAAGCATTCCCAACAAGTTCCATCTGAATTTGTACTGGATCAATAATTGACAGTGCGGTCTCTTGCTCATTTCCCAATCGGCATGAGAAAACCTAAAAATTAAAAATTATTTAAAAAAAATTAGGTACTGAGAGAACAGGCCTGGCAAGAACCTCAAAATCAAAGACCGACTCTCACAAAATATGAACTATAACCAAACCGTTCTCTGTAAACTTAAGACTCCAGAATATTTCCAGCCAATTTATTCCAGTGCAGAGATTCCAGAATCTTTCCAGCCAATTTATTCCAGTGCCCAGCTATGCTGTAAGTTCAGGAAAAGACTGTGATATGCAACCAAATACTCCCTTTACTGCTAAGCTTAATTCCACTACCACTCCTATCACAGATATGGAAAACGCTTTGTTCTTTGGTCTACAATAACCATCTAGGATTTACCAGATGTCTGCACAGCCTCTCCTTCTGAGCAAGTTCTTTTAAACTTTCCCGATATATTATGTACCCCTCAATTCTGAGTGTTCTTGTTCTCCTCTCAATTGCTCACAGCTTCTTCAGCTCCGTTTCCCCAAGACTGGCCACAACACTCCAGCTGTGGTCCTGCTCTGCTGAACAGGATGCAAGGACCACTTTGCATACTGAAAATGCCGACTTGCAAAAGATCCCTACTTGCATATTTCAATGGCATGATACTGCTTGTTCACCTCAAGTCCGTTACAATCACAGCTTGCAGGCCTTTGCTGACCCTGTGGGCTTCTGTCTACCCAGTCACTCCTCAGTTTTCAGTTAATTTGCCAGTTCATGACTGGAAGCTAGATTAGTAACTAGCAATATTTTGAGACTATAGTCAAGTGTTTCAATGGCTTAACAATATAAAACCATTCTTAAAACTGGTGTAGAGTGAGAGCATCTCATGAGGAACTAACAACATTCAAAAATCATCTGCAGACTACTCCTGTTGTATCCATATTCACAATAAAATATCTTCACAAGCTCCTCTAATTTCAAATGTTCTACAAAAGCAAATTTATTTCTTCTTACCTCAATGCCAAACAAACTACCAGAGAAAGGACGATCTAACAACTTGGGTTTGTAAGTGAGAACAGTAGTCCCCTTCAGAATAATTGCATTGGTATCGAAACAAGACATATCTTCAACGACCACAAATTCAGTTCCTTAACAGAACAAAATGACAAATAATAAACAAGGCAACTGAAAAATATCATTAAGATATTTTAAGCATTCGTAGCAGGTTTCTTGATTTTCTGTCTTTTAAAGGATCTGTTTCTACTAGCACACAGCTTTTAATCAGAAAAACTCCTAGAGAAGAATACATTTACCTGTCACATTAACCTTAACTTCCAGTTGTTTTTCTGCAGACACACGTAGTGATGAACGTTTTGTAACTACTCCACTTTTCACTGTTTTTGGAACTACAGCTGGGTCACTGCTGTAAGTCCGTTGCCGGGCAGAAAGGTGATTTTCCCGCTTTTTGTTATCTCCAGGAGTATATAAAAAGTCATGAACAAGTAACAACCAGTCAAATATCAGAAATACACGAAGATTGTTCAGAACAACTGTGAAACTGGAGGAATCCTTAGTAGACCTTTTAAGAAGAGAGAAGCATAGGTACTCACTTTACGTCTTGCATATATTTAAAATGAAGCAGAAAAGAACTAGTATCCAGCAAGTAAGAACCATATGGAACTTTACAGGGATACACTTAGTTTACAGTGTCTGGCCTTTAAAATACACATATACATATTTAAATAGATTTAAATTCATCAAGTTGCAGTATCCACAGAAACTCAACAGATTTTAACTGTGTGAATTCTAAGCCGTAATGAGACAAAAGATGAACTGAAAAACTACATAACAAGAAATTCACTTATAAAAGCTCCTTTAACACATTTACACTATTGACACTAATTTGCAAAGTCTCAAATTTTAAAACTGATCTTCTTATTATCATTTACATCTGTTCCGTATCAAACCTAACGTACTGCGTTTGAAATTTAGACCTGGCTCCATATCCCTCTAAAAGATCAGACGTACAATGTGTTTCCTCTCACGCCCTGACAGCATTTTGCAGCACAGGAAGCTGCTCTGTCATTCCGAAAAAATGCTAGCCTTCCTGAACTTTTAGTATCACATTCTGAGTATCTGGCTAGGAGGGATAAAAGTGTTTGGCTTCACAATCTGGAATACCAATTATATTTGGTCATGCTAACTGGAAAATAATCTTAGTGCTTAAATACCACGAAACAATTTTATATCCAACACATTCTGAACTATAAAATCTCTAAAGAACTGTAATTCCTTCGTGAGAAGCAGCCTGCCTGCACTGCTTCCAATAGTAAAAGCCTTTAACTCTCCCTGGCTCTCCAGGATATTTCTAAAAGGCACGAGTCAGTGTAACACTATCACTGAGCTCTGCAAAAGCTTACATCTAGCGCCAAGGATGCTCTCACCAGTAAAAACCTAACACATGCTTAAGCAGCTACAATTTAAAAGCATAACAGTTGGGAAGAGAATTCCTGAAACTATCACTCATAAACCAGATTAGGCTATACTTTGAAAACTAAGCTCCAATCTAGGCAGATACTGGATCAACAGTTACATGAAAACTTTTTTCTTTTTTTTTAAATCCCATGGCATTTCAGTTTCATTCAAATCCAAATCTTTGGTGTCTTTCTGAACACAAACTTCTTAAGCACTGAAAACCATTATGCATTATCCAAATCTTTAGGACAAATTTCTCTCAATTGCCTAAAATTAGTCAGGTTGTTTTTTATGAACATATGTCTTCAAGATTTTCTACTGGACTACAATAGCCCACAGATTTTCTTCTCTGTTACTCCTAAGGTATCATACTTACAACAGAGTTAGAAAGCTGAGTTTGGTCAGTGAGCCTGATCAAAAGTGAAAGCAACATCTCTACTCATTTCACTTCACTCTCTTCTTTTTTTTTAGTTAACGTCCCTCAACAAAACACCATGCTGATACAGGTAAATACTGACATCACACTTCATATTCCCATTTTCAATATTAAATTAGAAAAAAATACATTCACTGTGATGCCTTTAAGCACTGCAAGAGATCTGGATAAGGAAAAACAAACAGTGTAGGATAGAATCAAGAAGAGAATGTAGAGATTGTTTTTCGAAAGAGGTGCCGTTTCTGTACTTCGATGCTCTCAGAAAGGCAATTGTGACACCTACTGGAAAACAGCTTTTGTGCACCATACAGTAAAAATCCTATAATATGGCTTTATGGAAACATACAAGTGACAGGCCAGACTTGTCAAGCTTTAAGCGCTACTGATTTTAATAGGCCAGAACTTCATCCAATACATTGCACATTCAAACCTAATTTTTTTTGATTGCAACAAGGAAAAAATAAATACATAAAAACTCAGCCACCTTCAGTTAATTAATAACTGCAGATTTCAATCTATCAAGCACCACTGACCACCCCAAAAATGCCTTTAGATTTAAACACAATGCCAGCAAGTTTATCTACATTAATAACAACTGTACTAAAACCATGACAATCCCGTTGGAGTATGTCATTATCAAAACCAATCAACCCAATCCCAGGATTACCAACCTGAAGTGCAATTCAATCTGGATTGCTCCCGGACTACTAGTATTCTTTGATGACTGAAAGATACAACTGAACACATTTGGCATGCCTGCAGCAGACTTCTGTCCAGCATAACGTGTGTCAAATGCCATCATGGAATGAGAAACCAAATTTACAGACTTTGTTCCATTTGAAGAGCTTTCAAAAAGCAACTTGGATTTCTTAAAATCAAACCTAGGAGAATAAACAGCAAAACAATAAATTTAAGAGTCTTGTAGCTCATTTATTTCTAGAAGTCCCTTCATTTAAAAGTATGTATGGTATACTGATGGTATCTTTTATTTACCTATTTTCTATAACAACTATGATCACATCTCATGTCACAGAGCTAGAAAGTAGATCTATACTGTATGTAATAATATTTGCCACTGATACAGAACCTTCTGGATCTAAAAAACCCAAAACAACGTAGCAGAAATCAGTTTTTTCAAGATTACCTCTCAACATTCCCTTAATTAGAACAACATCTTTCTTGGGCAAGCCAGCCTATTACTGAACTGTGATTTGAAGAACAACTTGAAAGACACAGATGGTTTCTTTTGAACAGTGTCATTCCCTTTCATCTTTCAGATCAGCTGAAACTCTCAATTCGAACTCTAATTAAGAAATTCTATTTCACCACATTATTAAACCATAATTCCATGTATTATGTTAATTTCTGTCCTATAATCTCTCAGATGAGCATAGTATTTACAATAAGGTATTCAGTAACAAAAGAAAATTCATACCTGGCTAAAGAGCTGCATGCATCTTTTCCTTTTGGATCCATCAGTTCCAGACTCACATTAACCATGTCAATGAGGAATGACATGGAAGTATACACTTCTCCACTCAGAACTGTCTGAAAGTGCAAAACACAAACATTTTTTTAAGAGCATCTGTTTAACTTTCATTCCTGAATTAAATTTTGTTATTTCAGCCAAATGTTAACACAGCTGTAGTGTCTTTCTCCTTCGAAGAGTTTCCTTAACTATTGGGGGGGAAAAGCTACATTTCACAGCAGTGTAGCCTTCAAGTGAAAAATGTCTATTAATCCATTTCCACACTACTGTTCTACAGCTTCTTTGCTCTTAAACAAAATGTTGTCATCATCATCCTCCCCCCCTCCCCAAGTCAGCAATCCTTTTACACTGGTTCAGGTACCTTCTATCATTAAATTAAATTTGTAGTTCCTTTTTTTAAAAAAAAAAAATTAGGTGAAAAGCCTGACATGAAAAGCATACTTGTATTAGAAGAACTTTACCCATTCTTTCCTCTCTTAAAGTGAATCCTAGATGCTTCATAGCAATTTTTCTCCCTGCTGTGGTCATATTTTTGCTTCTTAAGCCAAGGTTACAGTCATGCAACACAGACAATGCTTAGAAGCCCCACAAGATCAAGACGAAACATGTTGTCCAACAACTTCCCTTCCCAGTAAAAAGGATATACACTGATTATTTCCAGGTGCTGCCCACACTCTTCCAGAAAGGACAGTATTTGACAACAGCCAAACAGGCGATACTTCAGAACCTGAGCTCTGCTGTAAAGCTTTGATTACTGAACTCTTCTTTCAGACTTATAGCACAAAAAGAGGGCTTTTAATACAAAGTAATATACATTCCACAATCTCAGAAGTCTTTAGGAATGTCATAGACATGATGGTACAGGAATTGTCACCCTGCACATAATTACAGGATAACCTTCAAGTCCCTCCAAAAAACTCCATTCCAATGGAAAAATCTTAAGCTTGTTAACATACCAATATTATACGGTCATAGCAGCTCAGCTTAAATACTTCAGAAAAAAAATAACGTACAGTTTTCACAGATTTGCCAACTTTTTTCACCACCGATATATTTCAGCAGACATAAAATGAACTAAGAAATACATGCAATGATGGCTATTCCTGACACATCTCTTCTAAAGATCAGAATCTCGGAAACATGAAGCAATATAAGAGCAAGCCACACCCGAAAGGACAACAGTAATGCAGACACAAACCTGAATTCACAGGAGTATCTACAGACAAATAGGTTCCTTCGCTGTTAGGCTAACTACTTTTTTTTTTTTTTTTTTAAATCTACCTGTCCACCTGGTAAACTACAAGAAAATCACAGATATTTAGCCTAATCAGCAAAAATCCCAGACATTTCAAGACAGAATTTCAACTGCATATAGTTCCCCTTACATGAATTCTTGGATCCTGCAAATCATAAGGCCGCATGAACTCTTCTATGGGCTCCCCAAGGTTGTTCTCCAGCAGTCCACGTATCAGTTTATACTTCTTCAAATCCAGAGAGCAATGGACTGATGACAGATTGCCATGTATTGATATGTCTGCAACTGCATGACTTAGCTCTCTACAACAAAGGAAAAAACCTCAATATTTCAAGGAGGTGTAACACAGCAGGCAATATTTTTCAGATACAATAAAAGGCATCTAAAACACTGGTTTTAGGCCAACAGCATAAAGTGATCCTGTTTAGATAAACTCACTTGTCTAAGTTTCTCTCCACTTGTAACTTCAATCTGAAAGGTTCTGTTAATAGGCTTCCTCCTGTCTGCCTCACGAAGTAGGATGGAAAGCTCAAGTCGGCACTTGTATCTTCCACAGCCTTTGAATACTCTCTCTGATACCTTTCGGCAGCAAATATGTCCATGTCCTGCAGATCAACCACAATGCAGTCTAACAGGCAGATGTGATCCTCTGCAAGTGCACAGGAGATAACACATTCAGAAAGAAAAAAAAGAATCTGTAGAAAACTAATGCAACCCACTTTAAAAAGAAATTTGGTTTCTCCTGGAAGTTATTCAGACTTTATTTTTTTGTAATTTTTCATTCACACTCATCAATATCTGTAACTGATACCAAACTCATTCACAGGTGAATGTAAACTCTTAATTAAAAGTCCAACTATACTCCCTATATGTCTAACAATACGCATCTCAAAACATCCTCAAATTGCAGGATTGTTTTTACAGAAGTTGAACTACAATTCCCTAATTCTTTAAGCTGCAAAAGTCAACCTTGAAACGAAAAAGCAATTTCTTTTTAAATCTACAATCTTTAGACCCAGAGCTGTACTTCTTCAGTGTCGCATAATATACAAGCAAAATTGCACCACATTATTTTAACAGGAAAAAGAAGAGCTAAATGGAGTTTCTACTATTTATCACATACCTGGGCTGTCAGGGTTTGGTACAATAGGTAGCTTTGATTGTTGCCCTTGTTGCTTACTCAGTGTATTCAGCATAGGCTCACTCTTCAGCCTAGAAATGTTTGTTCCTGATGATTTTTTCATGAACAATCCTTCCGTCACTATTTTTGATTCATCAGCACTTGTTGTTTTCTTCATGCTATGTTTTGGGGTCCCCAACGGAGACGAAAATTGAACCGAATCCTGCTAATGAAAGTAATTTTGTAATTAACAACAGATTTTTAAATTCAAAGGAACCAATACACCAAGTTTCAAACTGCAACAAATTCTTGTCAAAAAACGAAGTATTTTATTTGAATGTCAGTATCGTTTACTGCAGGAAGATTGCCAAACTTTTTTTCTACAACCTCAACAGCAGATTGAAACATTTTCTTTTAAAAAAGTTTATTTCAGCAACATTTTCAAAAAGGCTGTGAAATCTTCTAAACTGAAATTAATTAAAAACCAGTGGTTTTTCCACAAAACCAAAAAAAAACCCCATGTAAATGAAATTAATACAAAACAGAGGGGTAAGACTGTCAAGATATCAAGCATTTCTGTAGACAAAGACTGCTGAATATTAAAAGCTTTTTTTCAGAACATGTTCAGATAATGAAAACAACATACGCCATGATTTCTGCAAGATCATGTCATCAACTTAGTATTTTATCAGAATATGTAAACACTTCTATACATGAAGTTATTATTTTATGCACTTTAGCTACTTCAGTCGTCATACGAAAATGTGTCCCAAAATTTTTCTGCAGTAGCTACATTTAAGACAGAATAAATCCCTACCCTCACTGTTAAAATTGCCACAGGTGAAACAAGAAAAGCTCATTTATATTTATGTGTAACATTTTAGACATTTCCCCATAACCACATATCCAGTGGAAATCTTATGAGCTTTTCCACCTTCATGACACTGTCTAGCATCAAACACCTGCAAAGCATATAGTTTGCTTGTAAAACCGTCACATCAACATTAACAATTTATTCTCCCAAACCCATTTGTCTGGTGGAACAGGTTTACACACTACATTTATAGTCCAAAGCCAATTTCAGGGTTCCTTTAGCCTATCCTGATTTAAATTTCTTAACCTCATGTTTTAATTTCACTCATCTTCATGTGCCCTAGCAGATAACAATCATCTATTTGTAGTGATCCGCTTGCCCCTTACTCTGGGATTGCTTCCTTTACCCGTGACTGCAGTGTTGTTACTATCATCGCCCACCTTCTTCCTGCCTACAGCTTCTGATGTCACCATCCAGTCCTTACCCATAATCTTTCCTTTCTGGCTTTAATTACTTACTTGCATGATGTGTTTTTTACTTATTATTCACTGGAAAAATTCATTGCAGCCATGATTAAGGATTTTAAGATTAAAAAATTGAAGACATTAACTTTATACTGTAAAGCCAAAACTGAAAAGTACATGCAAAGAAAAATCACCACATCATCTATAAATCTATGAATTTATGCAATAAGTCCAAATTAATAGCCCCTCATACATGCATAAAGAGCACACCACAACAAGTTTAAATCCAATTCTTACAGAATTCGGCAAAGTCTTTAGAAGAGAAACATCACTTTTAACATACAAGGGAACTTTAAAAATGCTAAATATTCCACAAGAATATTTCCTTTTTTTTTTTTAATGAATGAAGAGCACCTGAAGACTACTTTAAAGATGTGAAATACCTCAAATAAAACTGGATCCTTGTATGCATTGCCTTGTAAAATCAGATCCTCAAAAATAAACATAGGACAGAGAAAAAATGAAAACAAAACAAATGAAAAAAATGACCCAATCCCATTTCAAATCCCCAAACTCTACAGTGTTACGTAAGACAGTATTTTAAAATTGAATTAAAATTACTACACACACATCCTTTCTTTTAAAATCTAACACAAATTTAGGAATGTACCACTCACAAACCTTTAAATACATCAGCACACTAGAGCACAGAAGACAACTGAATACTACAGTCCAGTATTTCCTTAAAGACATCAGTAGATATAAATCAGATGAAGGTAACAGACACACCACAAAGCTGCTGTAGCAATTTAGTCCACCTAACTTCTGCCCCTCTTTAAAATGGGATTAGGGGGTTTCCAGAATGACCACCTATATTGTTGCATAAGTTAGATATAGAAAGCCATCCAAGATGGATTTTCCTTACCCCACATTCTGTGGCTGGATCTCCCACTGCCAACACCACCTATTCCCCGTCCTGCGCCTCGCCTTAGGTTTAAGCATTCACCGGAAACCTTTTGTTAGGTTTCACCGAATCAAAGCAACTACACACACTCAGTTTCATTAAAAAAAACCCAAACCTAAATTAAACCAAATTCCACTCTCCAGTGTGATCCAGCAAGTCTCAGCTAATACAGATCTCCATTCTCTGCTACTCACACTGTTGAAATTCTGTCTGGTGAAGAGTTGAAGAAGTTACCAAACAGGGTTAGCTTTAAAGCCTGTTATGCTACCACGTCCAGGTGTGCACCCACCTGGGTCCTGCTTCCTAACAAGCCCAGTTCTAGTGAGTTCCTCAGAACAGTCTCCCTCCTGCCCTGAAGGCCTCAGAGCACAAGTCCAGGCACAGAAGGGAGCAGCTGGGGACCATCAGTGGCACACCAGATCCAGATGACGACCTGGCAGGCTGGCATGGACTGTTTCGCTACTAGTAGTACAAAGTGTATATATAAAGTAAAACGTAAGAATCATTTACCATTTTGATACAGAAATAAAAAGCACAAGAACTAGAAAAACCACAAGCTGCTAAATTAAGAAGTAATATTCTTACCTTGTTCTTTAATGAAAAAGTACCCGGCATACCCGCAAACAAAAATCTGTTCTTAACCTTCAGTTTTCCAAGATTAGCTACAATAAGACTGTTAGACTTCGAGCTTTCAGGTATAAGTAGAACAGGAGCACCAGCCTCAATATCAAGAAGAACTCGGGAAGCTCGCTGTGCTTTATCTCTTACCTGGAAAGAGCAAAATTTCATTAAAAAAATTAAAAAAAAAAAAACACTTCAGGAAGCAGGTGATTATTTCACTGATTAGTTCTGAACTCAGCAACAATATTCTTTGATTTACAAAATTAGGATGTGATAAAATTTTATACAAAAACAACCCCAAGTCCACCTCATTTCAGGCAGAGAATGAAGGCAATGATGCAAACAGCACACACCTGTGTGTGCAACAGGTGCAGCCATCAGGAGTGAAGCACACTGTCACCACCCAGCTACAAAAGGCATAACAGACAGTAGTGAGCTCACTACTTAAAGATTACATAAGAAAAGTTATCTACAGGAGAAAACCCCATTATTTAGAACAGATGTTTCGAAATCAAACTTCCTAACTGACACACAATGAAGCATTTTAATGTATGCAAGTACTGATTGTCTTTCTTCCAATTACACGAAGCAACTTTTTAAACAAGACTATTAGTATTAGCCATATTAATCACTCCCGCATTAACTTTTGTACAAAATAGGCTATGACTGTCATGATCATTTCTATGCTCTATTGTGAAGAAGTTCGGCGTATGATTTTCTCAGTCTACCAGCCATCATGCTTAATCAAAGATATACAGAGGAGCAGAACTGAAGGACTTCTCACTTGGTTCTGCTTATTCAGGTACTGAGTAACTTACCCAGCAAACAGTGGAGAAAAAGGCAAGGTAAAATCTTAAGCCATTTTCGTCCAGCATCACAATAACAGGAAAACACCTGTATTGGTGCATACTGCAGGATCCAGGTACCAAAATTTTAAGTAATGTGCAAATTTGATATTCTACACTTTCAAATAGCAGCAGGATGGTCCTAAATGCAGCCTTTTCACCACAAGATGATTATGAGCAATCTCCACTAATACCAGAACTCTAAAACATCTCATCATTTCAACTCACTGAGTTGATGCATTAACATGAATTTTATACTGCATTTCAACTTCCAAAAGTAAGCTAAGAAAAAGGAAAAATAAGAGAAAGAGAAAAGGGAAAAAAGAGAAGGAGAAAACAGAATAAAACCCAGACTTACTGTTTGTCCTTCAATTGCTGCTCTTTGCCTCCCCAAGACATCCTGAAGCTGAGTAAAATGTTGGATGAAAGACACCACCTCTGCCTGGAAACGCTGAGTATGCACATATTGAACAGATGCCATTCGTAGAGTGACACGAATATCACACTCCCTCTGTAGAAATGGATCTGGCCTCCCATATCTATGATAAAGGTTGAAAGTAAAATTTAGCTATCTTAGCCACATTCTGCAAAGAGTGCTATTCATTTTTTTTGCATTTAAAATAGTAATATAGAGGATTTAACTGATGTTCACAGTGTATTATTAAAACGATTTCACTCATAGATATGAAAAACTGGCTTTACATTCATTATTTATAAATTACATATATTTAAGTGCTACTGATTTTTAATTAAACAAACAGGAAAATTCTACATTTTGGAACATACCTCAAATCTCTACATCTAACAGATACACCTTTGGTGATTTTATACATCTGAACAGTGGCTTATAAGGTGAGTACTTTACTGCATAGTAATCTGTAGATTCAACTCTGTATCAGTGTGCTGTTACATTTCAAATTATTTCCATAACATTACTTGGATAACTTCTGATCTGATTAATTCCAGTGTGTGGAGGAGGGGGTGGAAAACCATGAAACATCACAGGATAAGAACTAGTGCTTTACACAACGCAGAACTTCAAGCATACACTATGACAAAAGCAAACCCTTAATTCCAAAATTAAATAAGGAAAAATGGAAATTAAATGAAATTTCAACCAATGATCAGCTGAAAACATCTTCCAACTTTTAAAAAACAACTACTATTTTACCTGGGAACAAACTAACACCTAAATACTTTCAAGAACAGCTGTAGAGGGAAATAAAAAACTATTTTTCCTGATAAGCCATGCATATTGCAGGACAAAGAAAAGTCAAAAATCATAGCTTAATGACTGAAAACGTTCAAAGTCGCATTTAAGTCACAAACGTCCAAAGCAGAATCATGCAGACCTGACAGCTGTGGGTTTGGTTTTTCTGGGTTTGGTTGGGTTTCATTTTGGTTTCTTGGGGTGTGGGGAGTTAATGGTGTTAATATCGAGTAACAAGAAATTTGAATTCATACTTGTAGACTTGGAAAATGAGCGCCTCTTCACCCCTTGTAGTGAAACGTTCCCTGTAAAATTCTCCATGAGCTGTAAGGTCACTTAAGGACAGACTTCCAATACTTCCTTGCAAGGCTAAATCTCCCTCTGCAAAACAACAGATAGACAATTAGGATCCTCAAACACACGTAAGTTACTAAAACCCAGAAGTTTATATTAGTGGGATAAACCCGTTACAAGTAATTAACTAAATCACATTCAATTAAACATCAAACTTCACGTTCAAAGAAGAGGACGTCCTTCTGCTACAAAGATTACATTAGCCCAAACATAACCCTATGCTTTGCATACATATGTGATCACACCACTTTGATCTGTCAAAACTTAGATAGAACTCTTTTTTTTCTCTACAACAGTAATATACACTATCATCCTGCCCTGTGAAAGTAAAGCATTAAAATCCTAGCCAGTCTCAGCTAAAAACGGTCAAGGGTTTGACAACTAGGAGGGATGTCAGGATTCAAAATAAAGCCTGAAAAAGCAGAGGAAGAAGCAGTGGGAAGAGAACGTACATCCTCCCTGGGAAACAACCAATAAGAAATGCTCTCATTTTGGTGCAAATCACAGCTCCAGTGCACACCACCTTTTATTTTAAACTGCATACCACCTTAGCTCTCCAGTCTACTCACCAATCACTTCCAAATGAGCTGCAAGTTTTGACACGCTGGCTTTAGCAAGCTCACTAGTTGTCTTATTCAGTACTAACGATAAAGAATGGACCTGGTCAAACAAAAAGGAACAGGTTGGTATTAAACGATATGACTTCATAGTCTTGTTAGTGTTTTTCAAGACAATTGCACTGTAACACATAAATGGCAAACAAGAATTATCTGACTGGGAGACGCTGGAGGAAAGCAACCTTTTTACTTCCTTCTTTGCACATGAACGGGTCTCCCAAGCAACTTCGAATGATCAGGTCATCAACAAATCCTAGCACTGTTGTCTTTGTTCTTTTTCAAGATTCGTCATTGTTAAGTTAGACTGCAGGACCTCTGTGCAAAGACTACATATACATACATGCAATTTTTAAAAAAAATATATGTTTATACACATATATGTACAGACATATATGTATATGTATATATATTTACAAAAGTATATGCTTCGTTTTTAAAACAAACTCCATAGTACCTAGAACAGCACAGCGTCAACATCAGTAAGTCAGGTCCTTAATATTCAAGCAACCTTTTCACTTAAGAGATCACAGACATTTAGTCTGTGCCCTGTGTTAACCTCAGGGAAGTAACAGTCACTGCCCACCAGACCCGGACTTTCCTGAGACTCTCAGGCATTGAGCAGACTGGGTGGGGCTGGGGCGGTGGGTGTCAAACTCTACTTATGACAGGTCCATTGGATGAACATGGAGCATTCTACTTCAGCCTCCCTTTTTTGCAAATGTTTTACTTTTCTGAAACTTCTGCACTTTTTTAAACTACATCTACGCACGCCTTAAATCTACTGTTTCTGAATTTATGCACATCCTCTACTAGAATATAAAACATTTGATTCAAATGTCACCTTAAGTTTCTATAAACCAGACGTTTTACGACAGACAATCCAATTACTATTTTGCATCTCAAGTATACCTTCAGATCCAGTTTAGTGTTTACGGGCTCTTGGGCTTGAGAAGCTGACAAGGTATTTATTTCTGATTTGATTGTCTGCTGAGTATCTTCAGGCTGCAGCTTCATAGCATGGTTATCAGCAGTGGATCCAATCCCAAAGAAATCCAGTATCACTACCCAAGTTTGCAAAGTTATTAAGACATCTAGACAATTAAAATCAACATCTACACTACGGTTAATTTTGTTATAGTGAGAAGAAAATTCAGGATGTTTCCTATCCACTAGAAATATATTGATATGAACTAATGAATCATCAAAGTTACTTTTTCCACAGGGCAACTTGGATCTGTCTGCTGTTGGAGAAGGAGGTGGAGTCAGAGGATACTCCGAATCAGCATCATCTTTCTGCTTCTTACGGGAGGCACAAACTGGTCTTTGGTATAGCTGAAAGACATTGGGTGCTTCTTCCATATGGGAAGGTAAGGAACGTGGCATATCTGGATATTCTACATTGGATACCGAGGGACAAGACTGTGAAAGATACTCCTTCTGTGCTAAACTGGATGGCTTGGGTGCTCCACGGGACACCATGAGATTCTTATACATAGAGTCTGGATTTTTTTCCAGAAGATCTTCCATTAGCAGAGAACGCAAGGCAATCTGAATAGACAAAGTCTGAGGATGATCTTTAGCAAACTCAACATCAAAATCCTGAAACTTAAGGCTGACAAGGCCTTGTGCACCAAGTGTAAGGTCACCACTTAACTGAACCTGGAGCTCTGAGACACGAAAGTTTGCTTGAATCTGAGTAAAAGATTTTGTTTCCCTAATAGCTAACGACTTGTTTGGAACAGAACTAAAATTAGAATGGCTGAATAAGCCATTTTCCTTCTGTTCACTTGGGAATTCTGTGCCTGTACTATGCAGTGATGCTGAAGGAGAACTATGACAAGTTGAAGATACAGAAGTGGCTGGAAATTTGTTCAAGTCTTCACTGTAAATTAAATTATCCAGAGTCTGCAGGACTTGTTCATACACGTGTTTTGCTAATACCACCTACAATGTAGAAAAAAGAAACAATCATCAGGTTACAGCTCTCTATATTAATAAAATCAGTACACATATTTTAAAACTCACAATCGGAAAGACTGTGGAATTTCAAACCAGACAAATTTTAAGTTTGTCCACAAGTAAAAAAAAATCTAGAACAAGGTACAATGCAAAGTTGAAGCAAAACAATTCTGTATTAGCTCTGTAAGATGACACAATCCGGAAACATATGGGATAGGATCCTAGAATAGGATGCCTTGTATTCCTAGGCAAAAAGCATCCATACAGAGTTAGTTAAAAATAATTCATCATACAAACCAGCCTTAACTCAGCATGCTGAGATTATACAGTAATATATGGAAAAAACATTCCACTTCACCATCATTGCTTGCTTTAGAAGCTTCAGTTTCCTCTACTTAACAACTCCGCTCCTGCAGAGATTTTGTTCAAGATAGTGGCATTTTAATTCTTAGTTTCTACTAGAACTGCAAATAAACATATTTGAACAGTGACACATTTATTTTTCCTTCTGTGATAGGTGTTCAGGGTAAGTAAAAGTCAGACTAATTCATAAAGATGTCTAAAATGGCCCAAAACAAGATTGGACTTGTCATTTATATTAAGAAATTTTGGTCATTGTTGTTGTCTTAAGACTGTCTCTTCTAACCACATCTGTAAGGATCTGATTTCTAAACTACCCATGTGTTAAACCTGAAAATATTTGCCTGAAAAATACTTTTCTTCTATGCAGGGAAATACTTTTATATTGACAGTAGAAATACTGCATTACTATACCTGAAGAGGGTTCACAAATTTCCCTTCAATCTTCATAATGCTTGATATTCCAAAGTCTTCATTACTGAGAGGAAAAGCTAAATCCAAATCTCTCTCTAGTGGTATCTTTTCCAATTCAAACTGGATGGTGGTGTTATTCAGAATGTGGAAAGCTGTGAAGATCAAGTTAAATTAAAACAATATTATAATAAGTGAACTGACTATCCTATATAGACTGTACAGCAGAGATAACATAGTGGCTATTTCACTGGCTCAGAATCTCTTAGCAATGCTAAAATAAGTATTTATGGCTACGTTTTGTTAAATTTCTGCACGAAAATCACTATTCAGTTTTTGCTTAGGAGACCGAAAATGGATATAAATAAAATAACTTGTCCGTTGTAATTAAAATTGAGAAGTATATTTCAGGAGGATAGGTGAGACAGAATACAGAATCAGACCTATGGTCAATACAGAGTTTCAGTACCATCTACTACTCATTAAAATAATTAAGAGTCCTCTGATTAACATACCATGGCCTTTATGTAACGACTCAAAGAAGTCATGACGAGTAAAATGGGATTCTTCCTGGCTACTAATACTGGCAGGACCTGAAGAAGAATGCGGCCCATGAGATACTTCACTTGCAGACTCCTTCTTGCTCATAAATTGACTGCTGTTTAAAGAATACATTTTAATATCTTTAATTTCAACTTGCAGTCTATCACTTGTAGATTCATCTTCTCCTGGTACAAAATTCTGAATAGATATTTGTCCTAGATGACCTACAAGCAGTTCAGAGCTACCAGGCTTTCGAGGTATTGAGACAATCGGTGATTCAATGTTTACATTTAATATAAGCTTAATAGTATCAGTTTTGAGAGACTGCGATCCAAATGCATAGCCTTCATTATCTTCTAAGTTGGCAGCATCTCTTGATCGTGGTGTTGTATCAAACAAAGAAACCATTTCACTGTATTCAGCAGTTTTAGTTGCCAAGACTGTAGTAACTTTTGAAGCTGCACTTTTCAGCATGCTGCGGAAATTCTCTTCCAATTCATCCATTGACAAAGTTAGTTCTTTCAAAAACTTAGCTGAATGGTTGTAGTGTAAGGAGGCCATTTTGAGGTTGAGAGAACATTCCTCTTTTGACTTTTCTGTGAAAGTGAAGCTTAAAGCATCTGGAACGCTATTTCCGTCATCAAGCCTAAACAATAAAGATTCAAAGTGACCTACATCACCAATGAGATTTTCATACCTAACTGTATTCCCAATGCTGACAACATACTGGTTCTTAACACTATCTTGTGTTAGGTCCATAAGGTGAAGGCATCCAAGAGAGCCATTTACATCAAATTTACTACACATGGAGACATTGACTTTGGTGCCACCAATACTGGCTGTTGCAATTTTTCTGCCATATTTTTCTCCATTTGTCATGCCAACTGTCCTCAGGAGGAGTATATTTAACCAGTGAATATCAACTGCTACCTCTGTATTCTGTACGTAAGTAGACTGGAAGGTTTCCTGTTCCCTCCAATCTCTTTCCAAGTCAGTTATTAAAGGCTGAGGACTAGAAACTTCCTTCTCTTTTGGGAAAGATTTCTGGAGAAACCCAATCAGTTCAACAATAGTCTCTGGATTAAGGATGATATCCAGGTTGTTCACCTGTACAGAGATCACTTGCAGACTGCTATCCAAATTCATCGATGGACATTCTGCACTCACAAACTGATACTCTAATTTTATCAGGGACTCTTGATCTTTTGCATTGTTACCAGAAGAAGTATTTGAGGCTGTAGTGCATCTCTCTGCCAAACTAGCTACATCAATGGGACGTGCATCATATGGTCCATGAACAGGGGACTGAGCCCTGCTGTCTCGAAGACTTCCTGTTGGCACATCAAAACTCAGATTCTTATGAGAAGCCATCAAAAGATCAAAATCTGTTCCGTATGTTTGCATAGTATCAACCAGTAACAGGCCATGAACAGTCAGGGACACTTCTGCATCATACGGCCTTTTCACAAAATGGGCATTGGTGCCAAAAACCTTGAGTACAGAGATATATCGTCCATTACTTTCAACACCCAACTGCATACAGTTTACTTTGAATTCAGCCAAGAGCAGCTGAGATTCAACAAGAACTTCCCTCGTATGCTGCTCCAGCATTACAACACTCTGTGTTAGATTCATTACAGAATCATGCAAACTGCCAAGCTTAGCGCACAACAGTTCTTCAGAGCCAATATTTTGTCTTCATTGATATGAATTTTCAAGTCTGGCAGACTGCCAGACAAGACAGCTCCTGGGTATTTTGGGTCAGACGTGTATATCAATCTCCGCTCCAGCTGTAGGTGAACATTGAATTTTTCTACCACATGAGTTGGACCCACACCACTATCTTGAACATGTTTCCAGTTGTCTTTCACTCGACCCACCATGATCTGAAGGTCCATAAATGAAAGTGTGTATCTCTCATACATTTTTTTGCTCATTAAGTGTGCTTGTAGCTGCTCTTCACTGATTTCTACGCCAGCCAATTCAGATATTTTGATGCCACTATTAGTGTTAGCTTCTGGCGGTGGAGTATTGGGAGGAGTTGCAAGAGGTGTTTTATATTCCTCATCACTCAATTCATTGACTTCTGAAGAAAAAGTATCTGCACTCCTTTTAGATTCTTCTGTGGATTAAAAAAATAACCATAAATAAGCAAATAAAGTATTCTCCCTCCTTGGATATTTCCCATCATTACCTGATCATCCTGACTGAAGGTGTATTTTTTTAAACACAAAGCATACCTGGTACTGTCCTCACCCCCTTTCACTGTCACTTTTAGTTTTTCTCAACATGAAATCTACTACACTTTTTACATGCATGCAGATGTCAGTCACAATGTATTATAAAATCTATTAAAAGACACTAATGTCTCATTTTTAACCCACTTACTATTACTACATGATTTACTTCTAATCAAGTTGTTTAAAAAAACAACAACAACAAAAAAAAAAACCATTACTCTCCCTACGCAATTCTTTCTATCCTCAAAACCAACTGAAAGGTAAGAGCTACTTAGATACAATACATTTATGATCAGAAGTTTTTGACCAATTAACTTCATTGCCTAATATTAATTTTCATTTTATTACCATAAGAAAAGGATTTTTTACAAAGCAGGAACACCCCTCAAAACTCTCCTGTACTTTTTTACCTTTTTTTTTTAAGCTCCTTTTAAACAGCCCAATGCCTCAACTTCACTGGGAAACATAAATCTATTTTGAACAAACAATTCGTGTTCTTTTTCTAGGCTGCCCTAAGACAGCATTTACTAAAAAGGAAGCTACTAACACATTGCAGAGTTTAGTTGATGCTAGAAAAGATTAAATGATTCAAAGACATCCAGAGCGAAAACATTCCACTGTAGACAATGTCGGGCTTGACACCTCAACTTTCCACTGCACCACAAAAACCAGCTCATCCTACAGCTGCACTTTTTAAAAAGGAAACGAATACCACACAGATATCTCTTCCAATATTTTTTTAACATAGTCTCACATACCATACAGCTCAACTACATGTTAAGTAGGTCTAATCTATTTACAAGTTCCACTGTACTTTCTTCTTAATTTTCCTGCATTGTTTTCCTAGTGGAATGGGAAAGACGCAACGATTTGTTTAAGGAGCAATGACCTCAACTTTTCCTACAAAGGACACCAATTTTCCTTTCACTTTTATTCAGCTAGCTATAGACACATGTGCTAAGAACAGAGATCCATGCAACTCCACGACCGGAGGGCTTATTCAAAGCATACTTTCACTGGGAACCCTGTCCCAAAAAAAACATTTGACAGTGAAATCCTATGCCACTCTCAGCCAAAACCATACCCAAGGTAAAGGGCCTGACACACCAGCTTCATACCTGTTCACAGCCTTCAAGAGGTGCAGGATATCACAGGGGAGCCTGTGTTAATCCCAAAACAACCCCAGACCCCTAACAAAACAAAAAAACTGCAAACACACCCCCATTATTTTTAAAATTGTGTATCAACCTTTAATTAAAAATTTATTGATAATAGCAGAATTGTTATGTGAAACTAGGCATATATAGGGGAAATAACCTTAAGACATCTCTACTTTCTACACAGACAAAAGAGTTTCTGGGAGAAGGTGGAAAGAAGACGAAAGCTGCAATAAGTCTAGCTCATACCTTGAGAATTGGTAAGTAATATTCTTCCCAGATCCACAACAACTAACACTGGATCCACAAACTTGAAATCATCAGGAAAGATCACCTGAGGGGCAGAAATATCAAGGCACACGGTCCAGCTTTTGCTGTTTTCCTGAAAGTTAAGAAGATATGATAGCCCACAAGAAATAGTTTCCCCTCACATACAAAGAAAGCTACGTCAAACAAATCACACCAGTTAGCCACTTTTTTACCCAAAGAGCTAACTTTCACCAATTTCACCCATACTAAAGTTTGGGAACTTGTTAAAGCACAGACTCCCATTACAGTCAATGAAGAGACATTTTCAGCAGGCGAAACATCCCATGCTAAGACATTTGCAATGAACCCCCCTCCAGAGCGACTCTCCGTCTCTCAGGTGGGGAGAGCGAACCTACCTGCAGAGCTAAGAGAAGGCATCTACTTTTGCATGACACTGTGTAAGATAAATCCTTGTCAAGGCTATGCATAAATACACCATGCATTAGACTGTGTTTTATCAAAGATCAAACTATTACTTTTTCAGAACAATTATTTTTTCATTTCACTGAAAACAATATAAAACAACTATCTTGCATCAATATAGCTAACTCCAAAGCTAGAGATTAATGACACTGATACATATACTAATACTACTTGAAACTGAAGAATGAGCAAACAACAAATAAAGGTGGAACAATTTCTTAGTTTAGAAAATTATCTTTAAATAAGTTACACACAAATTTAGCAAGTTTGATGTAACAGAGCTCCAATGCACACTGGAGCCAGTAAGCTGGTATGAAGTCATCTCAGTAATGGGGTCAAGAACAGAAAAATACTGTTCTGCCATTCATCACAACAGGTCTGCACCACAAAAATTGATTGTTTGACAGCAAAAGGAATACTACAATACTCCTCACGTTCTTAAACAGAACACCACACAAATAAACAACAAAAACCCCCCACTCTTTCGAGCTTGAAGTCCTACAACTTGTAGGCATGTGGCAAAAAAAGCCTACATAAACATTTTTGGGGCAAAAACTTACAATGAAGTCTCCCACTAGTAAACGATCAATAGTTTGCCTGATTTCAGCTTTTGTCTGCATTTTCAGCTTGTTGTACTGTCTTCTGGCAGCTTCGGCCACTCTTGCCTCTAGCTCAGACTGATATCCGAAACCTGCAGACAGATACAAAACCAACTAGGTATAATTTTGTCATTCTGTTACTGAATCAGGGAAAAAAAAAAAGAAAGAGAAAAAAGAAAAGATCTATTTTAAATTTTAGCAGTAAATATAGGACAGGAAAACATAGCAGTTGAAAGCCATTGGCTGTACCTACACAACAGGCTGCTTCATAGAAAAAAAGAAGCGTCTAGGCACAAAACAAACACATCCCACCAGAAAAAACACTTCCCAAACCTTTTTCTGGGTCTTTATTTGATGAGTTACTAAATTTGATGGAGACAGAAAGGGTGATAAGTACAGCAGCAGAGGAAATTCTGACTAACCATTAAGATGTTTGTGGAAGGTGCAGGCAGTCTTTTGTTTTTTTTTAGTTTGCTTTTTTGTTTTAAACTATACCTGTAACATTTATGGAATATTCTCGTCTTGTGAGACAAGGTAAGTACCATACAAACCTTTATACTAGGTAACTTACATCTTTTGGTATTTGCCAAAATCAATAGAAAAATGAATTGTTACTTTAAGAACATTTTAATGTTCCTTATTCTCACCTCTCATCTCCTCAGAAACTGAACTTTAACAACTAAAACTGCAAAGGTAGTCCCTTTATAATGTTACAAGCTCAGGTACTGGACTCCTAAATCTTGCTACCTTTAGAAGCTTAGGGAAGCAGTATGTTCAACATCTAAAAAACAAGGTACCTCAAGCAGCCGTAACAGATGTCAGACTTAATGTAACCAACAGAAGAGACACAACAGGAATTGGAATGCAATTAACTGTCCTCTCAAAAAAACCTTCTTGTTCTCCATGAATTTCCAGGAGAGATTACAGAAACAGGCCTCCTTATCCATGCATTTTAATTTAAGCAGCATGAACATCCACCATACGGTACAGCAGCAACTTGCAATTTTAAAGTAGAAGTTTCAGCAGTCTGCACGAGCAAAATTCCCAATTCAATTCAATGAAGGAACAAAAAAAATTCATCCAATGAAGACTCAGAGTATTTCTTACTTTGAATTTAAAGTGGAGATTCTTTGATTAGTGCTTTATATTTCTAAGAGTGAAAATAAATGAAATGAAAGATAAGAAAAGATGTAACACCACCAAAAAAAACCCCAACCCCACCAAAAAAACCACATTAAATGTTAACCTGAGGTATGAACTCTTCCCTTGTAGAAGAAGTCAGCTACTTTCTTAATGGCTTGTGGATTGTAAATAATATTTAGAGGTCTGGTACTGACTTCCAGGCGCCTCTCAAAATCGCTGTGGATTGGATTCCTTTCATAAAGCATCTCAAACACTGGGGCATCAGGATCTGCAACTGAATAAAAAAATCAGTTACAAAAAGCAGCTGTAAAACAACCGGAAAAAACAAATGGACAAAAGTAAAAAAACAACCCCCAAAAATTTAATAACTAATTTTTAATTCATACAACCAGGGAAAGTAGTACCTGTCCAAAAGTTCTTCAGTAACAGAAAAGCAAGTAATTTGATCAACTTCTACAATCAACAGAAATCAACATGTTTGTATATACAAAGCCACATCAGAACTGGGGTCCTAATGTTGAACTTATAACAATTTTTTTTCTTTTTTTAAACCAAGACAAAAAGCAAGTGCAATTCCCGTTGTCTTGAAATACATTTTTTCTTACTCACTTTCTTAAACTCAGCTCGCACACACACTTACACCTGAACAAAGCTTCTATGATTTTATCTTTACTATTTGCAAAAATCATTTCCAAGAATTCAAACTCTAGGCACTCAGTTTTGAAATTTCAGGTTTGTAGGAATTATCTCATACGCTTCTTATCATCAAACATAAAATGAAAGCTTTACCAGTGTTCTGATTAGTCATTTCTGAGGACAAACTTTGGAGTCCAAAGGAAGACATGCAGCCAACCTCTTTTTGCTGATAAGAATTTAAAAGAAAAAGATTGTTTAGATAAAATCAACCCAGCCACTTGATATAAGCATAAAAGTCTTTTCTGTATTACATCTTATGGTCACTTTGTAAGTATATGTATAGTCTGAGACTATTATATGCATTTTTTTTGTTAATGCAGTCAAACGACAGAAGGAAGTATGACTAAGAAGCTAACACGATCTACACGTGGCAGACAGACTGAAGTCTGAAGTGCAAATATCAGTCAGTTCTCTACAAAGTACAAAACACATGGGAAATTTTGATGGAATTAGATTCAAATTTTGTTTGCTCAGAAGAGATATCTGGAATCTTGTCAGCAATTCATTAGGAAGAAAAAAAAAGTTCTGTATTTCTGCTTTGAGTGTAACAGTATACAGGTGAAATAAAACCTTACTTGGACAAAAGAGCTTTTCAAAAAAGAACAATCACTGATTAAGCAGCCATGCTGATTGTTCCAAAAATCGAATCTTGTTCAATAAATTACCTTCTTCCCAGCACATATAACTGTAGTGTTAAATTACAAGCACACAGAGCAAACAATGAAGAGTTCTATGGATGATGCTTGAAAAGGGAGGGGAAACGTAAGTTCAACAAGTGGAAATTTTTCTTCCAAGACTTTTGTGTTCTCTTTCTGGGGTAAGACACAAACCAAGAAAAATGTGTTGACTTTTGGAATATGACTATTTTCATACACTCTTAAGCATTCTACATAGTAACTTAAAGTGTTTTTTTTCACCTACAGGATTTGGGAAAACAAGAACAGGAAATATGGTCCCTTCTGTTGCCAAATCCCTCAGAAAAAGACCACCAAGCTGCACTTTGAGAAGGGAAGAATTTCTGCGAGGAAGGGATTCTGCCAAGATCTTTACACCTGGAATATAAAGACATAAAATGTTTTTATTTTTTTTAGTACACAGCATAGGTTTTATTTAAATTTTACAGATAACAAATACCATCCAACCAGCAAGTCTTTTCAAAGTGCTTATATATATTCATTTCTACTAAAAAAATGAAACACATAAATTTGGAATACATTACAATGATTGCGAAACATGTATTTCTATAGTTATCTTCCTTTCATATATAATAATGTCTAAAACTAGATTTCTGTGTTGAAATCATTCACACAACTGAAAAAAAGAAACTTATTTTCACTTGATACATCAATTTATGCAACCTGCTTTCCTATTTTCATTTTAAACTTTACTTCAGTATAGTAATTTAAAGAATTAAAAGCAAAAACCAAAGGAAGGTCTGAAGACAGACAAAGCTCTGGTCTTTTTTGAAGAACAGAAACTGACTTCTACCTGAAAACTCCAGCTGCATAAAAGCAGTCTCCTCAGCATGCATCACCTTCTTCTCCTTATGCAACAGAGTGAAAGAGCCACCCTGCAACTGTAGATTTAATTTAGCAAAAACATGATCTCTCTTTGTAAAGGTATTCATGCTAGAAGCATCTGCAGCAGCATCAAAAAATTCATCTGCACCTAATTGAAAAGAAAAAAAAAAAACAACCCACAACACAACACATTAAATAAGTCAAGTTTCTGGAAGGCTACTGAAGAACATAAAAGTTTCTCCAAATTTGAAAATAAAGATTTCCCCATCTTTATGGAAAAAAAATAGAAACAAAAAATAAAGTATACATACCTTCTTGCTTAACAAAACTGAATGTTCTGTAGAACCCTTACATTTCAATTAAGGTAATGTAAACCTAAATTTAAAAAGACTCCAACACCCCAGTACCGTTAATGTTGTACCCAGTCACAGCATGCTGCATGACCCCCACCCACCTGAACAGAAAAAGTCCCAAAGCTCTTTGTCATAAATATCTGTAACAGTGGGAGCAAATGTATTCCATATAGCGCTGTAGAAATAAGCGGGTACACCACGTACTGAGATTTTTTAACAGGGTATTAAGCTTTAGACAGGCTCTGCTACCTAGGTACATCCATTAACATGCGTAATCTTTTAACAGTACAGAACCAATGAGTTGTTTCTGTTCACCTTTACCAGGTATCTAACTATGGTAGCATTAGCAGCCTTAAAAAGAAAATCCTGTATTTCCATACCTAGTATGTCTTCTGGATTCCACTGTTCCTTTGGGTCTGGCAGCAGCCCTTCAAAAGGTTCACCTTCATATGTTTGCTGAGCATATCCATACCAACCTCCCCAACCAGGAAACCAAGACTGAAGATACTGCAGCATTCCAGTGCTACTGCCATGTGCAGATTCTGCTGTAGGCGAACCTCCAGGTGAATCAGGCAACGGCTCTTTAACACTCTATGTTTGAATATTGAAGACACATATTACTGCTTATAAGTGAAAGAACAGTACACAAAAGTCACAATAAAAATACAATTCCATCTATTTACTCAGCACTCTTCAGTATACCAGCAGTGATATTTTCAATCAATACCAAGTCTATTAGGAGAGCAGCAGCAAAGAAACAACAAACACATCATCAGTTAACTGCTGCATATTCATATATGAAGCCATATGGCATTATTTAAATCTTAGTCTAGCATGACTAAACCAAATAAGAAGTCATTTGACACCATAAAACACAGCTCTAAATTTTAGCAAGTGTATCTGAAAGAAAGATGATGTTGTACTGTTACAGAGCTTAGTCCATATTCTATGAAGTGTGCTCAGAAAGCTATTTACATGAGGCTTACTTCTGCCATAAATTTATTCTGGGAAAATACTCATTATAGGCCCTTATTTCCACTCTCTGTTTTTAAGATGAAGAGTGTTTGCCCTAGGAATTCCAGCAAGAATATTACTGAGGAAGATCATCATATGACTAGACAAAAGATTTCACTGTGCAAGTGACACCAGAGTAAAAACTGGTGGAATCGAATATTGTTTCCGATTTTAACATTAATGACACACCTCTAAATCATAACAAATACATGCCAGACCTCTCCAGCAGAACAGAACACAACAGCTCAGAATAATTCACTTAAAGATTCCAAATATTACCCTGTGTGCATGATGTTCCTCACCTCAGCTAGGTCATGAAATTTATCATGAACTATCTCATATAGTATCTTCAGCTCTTCATAAGTTTGCTCACCCTCAATACGACGCATTTCTGCCTGAAAAGACAGAAAAGGTAAAGTAACTGCACTAAAAGAATATAGCGTCTTATTCACAAACATGTCAAACATCTTTGCAATTAGTCAGAGATTCATAGAAAAAAACTAAGAAGGCATTAATGATATCGTCCAAGTGTCTAAGCACATAAAAAAAAACAGAAGTCGTGATCAACCACAATACTGACATGGCCCCATTTCCAAAATAAAGTTTATCTGCATTGTAAAATACATTATTTTAACACTTTTCATGGTAAAAATTCCTTGCCCAACTATATCCTCCTATCACACATCAGATGCAAAGTTTGCAGCACAAAATTCAAGCCATGGAAAATAATCTGATTTAACAGAATCACTAGCTTAGCCAGGAGCAAAAAAAAGCTTCTGTCTCAAATAAAGGAGGCAGAGGAAATGAATTGCATAGATTAGGACAATGTAGTATTCATACTCAGTTTCTTAGACGTTGTCTTCTTTGTACTGATCAAGAAGTTGTTTGTGGAAGCTTATGATTTATGTAAGTCTAAAGATATATAATGGAATAAGAAAGTAAAAGATATTTTTCTAGTCCAACGGCATTGCCCTTGCTGTATTTCACAGCGCTGCTGAAGACAATACACGCTATATGAAAGTAAAAGTTTCCCACTTTGCCAGGTACTATAAATCCAGCACACTGACCTACTCCTACAGTTCATGTCTAAATAACACAAGTAATGATTACATACAACTTAAAGTATCGACAGAATCACACCTGTAATTCAGACAGGTGAGGTACATGGTGCCCTGAACTGATTTAAAGAAAAAGTCCCAACAGACCTAGAGATAAAAAGCAGCTAATTATAGTTCACAGGTTTTTTTCTTTCTGAAGTAAGGCACAGATTCATTATTAGGGGCACTTTACTTCTAAATTCTCCATACTAAAATGAACTGGGAGGAAAAAAAAAACCAACCAAAAAAAAAAAACTAACAAGCACCCCTAAACACACTGCCAATCAGCTACAATTTTTCCCACATTATCTACCCAACCATATGGGTGACCTGACACACTTCTAATACTTGAATGCTTTTTGAGCCTATAGAGAACACAAGTTAAGAAAGCATGCAACTGACTGACATAAACGCTCTATGAGAGTTAATGCTATTTTTGGTGAAAGGCAGCTACAGCTCAAAAAAAAAGACAGCTTTTTGCACAGCAAAACAAAAAAGCAAGAACCCTTCTGCACACACACCTCCCACAAGCCCAGGTTTCAAGCATTAAAAACTCAGTGGTGGTCAAAAGACAGTCTGTTCAGTGAAAATGGCCTGCAGTAAAACTAAAGATGTTTCTAAACTAGAACAGATTTTAAATTTGAGCAGGTGAAACAAATCAAATATGAGATAACTAATCAACATTGTAGAAAACCCAAATCTACACACCTGGTCTGTAGCAGACAGTGGTTCCCCCTTCAACTTGCTGTAATACATGTCAGTGTAAGACACTGCATCTTGGGCCCGATGTAATGCGAACTCCCAGGTAGAACGTTGCCTCTGCTCCCTGATCTCCGAAAGATTAGCATTCAAGGCAAAGATCCACCATTCTCGGCAGCTGAAATATTTTAGAATTACTATATTACCAGTATTTAAAAAAAAAAAAAAAAAGTATGTTAAAATCGAAAAAACAGAAAAAGACGCACTATTAGAGACAGCCTATGTGGGCCAGTTCTACAAATTGTGTAGAACAGTGCTCTGCAATGTCCCCACCACTCCAGTGGGATTTAGTATAGCTGTTCTGTTATCAGGCACAGACAACAAAATGTTGAGTTACACAGACCTCGGGTCTGAACTGATACCATCTTTCTTATTTGCCATTAAAAGAAAATTAACAGGAGTTTTTTCCATAAAGATTACTTCAGAACATCACAGTGTGCGCATGGGGATAGCACCTCCAACACGATTTTAGTTCTTAAAAGCTATGAAAGAAGGATTTATAGCCTTAGGTAAGAATAATTTTAAGTTTTAATTACATCTGAATATTTAAAACAGATTTATGAGGTAGGGGAACAAAACAAGAACACTGAAACTCTAATATATGATTACTGCCTACTTTTTTGTATTTGTTTTCATTCTAGTCTCCCTAGTATAGTTTTTAATGCCATATCAACAACACCACATATGTAGATATACTTACTTCTCTGTTACCGTAACCTTTGGTCTCCACTTCCTGAATTTAAGCTGTCGTTCCTTTCTAGCCAGTTCCTTTAAAAATCCCATGATCTGCTGATACTGCATCTTTCAGCAAAAGAATACACAGACAAATTAGGCAATATTGGAGTGATTTCCAAATCAAAGGGGAGGAAAAAACAAAACAAACAAAAGACCAACCACAGGCTTAGTTTATCTGCATCAATGGCCTGCATATGGCTTCAGAATTCAGGTTAATGTTAATCGTAATTCATTACTTGCTTCTCTAGTGTTACATGTCTTCTCCCAGTGGGACATTCAATTTACAGGCCTCCTTATTTACAAACACACAGAATGAAATCCCCTTCCGCGTCAGACTATCAACCTAACATCAGCTGCTACTGTACATTCTATACACTAAAAAACCCCATATGCATCCCTCCTATTACTACAATAAACAACGTTATTTTTTTGCAATAATCAGTAAAATAATTCGGAATGCTTGGTTTTAAAACAAATTCTTTACATACCCCTTTCAGTTGCCTCTAAAACAAAATCTTTGAAAGTCTTAATTTCATGCTACAATAACTGGCATGCATGCTGTTACAAACACTACTACAGTTTCACCCTACAGGCATTTCACTGTTTGAATCAGAAACTGTTTATTCTTAGATACAGATAATTCAACACTGCATTTCACCAGCAGGATCTTCAGAAGCACTGACATACAAACAACAGTTGCAGCACATGGTAATGAAAAAATACCCTCTATGTCAAACTACTGATTTGAATTTGTAGACACTGTGATAACCAAAACACAACGGAATAACTTCTTTAATCAGTCATTTTGTTAGGAACTGACCATAAAGCAGTGTGCAACACCGCATGCAGATACCCAAGCAATCCTGAAGACTAACTAGTTTGGTCACCCAATGCAGCGTAACACAGTTAACAGCAGAGAGTTCATGATGGCCCCATTTACCTGCTTCTCAACAGCCTCTGTTTCAGATATGGAGCGCTAAATAAAGACGGCTGCTATTTACCTGGGAAAGTTTCAAGGGTATAGTCTCAAGATGAATGTCACACTCAAGCCGTGGAGTCTGGCGTGATTTTAAAGGCTCCTTGGAACAATTTCTCTTAAGAAGAGCAGAAGTGCATACAGGTTCCATGATGTAATTATGATCACGACTTTCCATACTTTTATCCATTGCTTCCTGTGGGTTACAAGCAAATTTATTCTATAAGAAATGAACCTACAACACTTGTTAGGATGCATTGGTTTAATATACTAGCATACACTTTATTAGCATGCCAGTCCATTAAAAACACCTCTTAAACATGTTCGCTCTTCAAAGGTAAGATATTTCACAGCACAGCCTCTGTGGGTTGCGCATATATCCTATCACGATAGCATAAAACCATAAACGGCGGTTGCTCTTAAAAGCACCAGATCCAATAAATTCGAAGTCAGTTAGGTCTGCAATACAGACAGACTAACAACAACAACAATCTCTCTTTCGCATGCAAAATCTCTCTCTTGTACCTGTAGCTGCCCAGGAGGCAGGTCACCCAATAAAGTGCAGTTGGTATCCCAATAAACACTGAAGTCGGCAACATCCAACTGTTTTTTCCGCATCAGCTTCTCAACCTGAAGTAAAAAAAGTGGAATAAAGCCAAGATCACACACCACATGCCATGTAGTTTTTAGTTCCACATCCTCGATAAACAACATGAAATGCTCAGAATCAATTTACAACAATAACCAGATTATTAAAATACCATACTTTTTCTTAAATAATTACTAGCACTCATAAAATACAGCATCACATCTCAGCTGCCATGAGTTCTTGTACAAAAAGTCATACTTACAGGTTCAAATACTGCATTTTGCATTGATACATTTTTGATGCATATGCCAAACGCAAATGGCTGCAAAGGATTTGTGACGCCATCTTCAAACCTCAAATGGACATCCTGAATTTTTAACTAGACAGAAAAAAAAAACCATTACTAGAAACAACTATTTACACCATCAGAGTGGACAACAGTACTATCCATTAATACTGAAGCAATTTATTATCTGATTTCTGCAATTTTCCAACAAATTTCTGGTAGTTATTTAGACCTCAAAAACCCTATTCCTCACTTCTGGTTTTGTACTCTCTGGTTCTATCTTCTCCTCAGATACCACTAGTCCCTGCCCTTCTCTCCACAAACAGCTCGCCACTTTGACAAGACAGTGTACCTTATTTTGTTATCCTACTATTATTCTCCATTTTAAAGGCAAATGTGTAATTGCCAATTGAAGACGCAAATTTGTTTTATGTATTAGAATTATCAGCATGGTCCAGAATTCCAAACTAATTATCAATACAAGGTGACCCAAACTAATTTTACATTGGTAAAAACTTTGAGAGCACCAAGTTACTGTGGCTTCTCCAAGAATGCAGAGTCCAGCATAGATACTCTTGCCTTGAGCTTCTGTACCAACTACACTCTTCTCCAGCACATTAGAAAAAGCAAGTAGTCTGAGGTATCTTGCTTCCAAATTGCCTCTAGCAAATTGAAACGCAACCATACAATACAGTCAATCTATCTGCACATACGGAAGAAGAAGGATAGTCCTTTCATGGAGGCAAGCATACAAACTTTAGCAAGTAATATGTAGAAAGAATCTGGTTCTTAAACATGAATGATTAACGACGTAAATGTTGCTAAAATGCCATTAACTGCATTAGGACTTCCAAAGAGAAAGGCAACAGAGTGTAACAGCCAAACTTTGAGTCATTTTGAAACTTGGGAGACACATGAGAGACACAACAGGCAGCCAAATAATCAAAATCATAGATAGCAGAAACTCTGTGATTTGTTTCTTTACAAATTATCTTTTAATCAAAACAAATCACGCTCCTCCTCTACATAAACAATTCAGCGTTTTGGCAGGTTTAAAACTAAAGGAATTAAAATGTGAGCAAACCCCACCAGATTTCATGCAAATTCATTATCCACCTACCTTACAAACCAAAAAAAGGTCATGTTTTCCTGCTGGTAAAAGCAGGATGGAGGGTTTTAACTTTCCAGAAGCCCCCACTAGGACTAGCTTAAGATTGAAGTTAGGAAGGTTCAAGCTGAAAAGGGACTGTGCTCTGCCAAACATCTACCTGTGATTAATGTATTTCTTCTCTGAGGACTACACAATGTGAAGCACAGTGGGCACAGGTAATTCTTAACAAGTAGCAAAAGCTCTACAACACAAAGACTTACTTCAATGTTTTCTACAATTCTTGTGACTACTGATGCAGTAACTGAGTACCAGTAAGATTCCCCTTTCTGCTGTCGCTCTTTCTAAAAGAGAAGATACAGATAAGCATTAACCACCACTGTAACAGCTGGTCAGGAAACAACATACTTTGTTATACTGAAATTACTGTGAATGGGGAGAAAGGAAAAAAAAAAAGATTTCAGTATCTCCAACATGTGGGACACACAATACAACGGGGTCGGGGGCGGGCAGCAATTGCATTATGCTAGCACATATGAACAGAATTCTAACTTAGTTTCCTATGCATTTGTTCTCCTACTTGTTAGGAGACTTAAATGCAATCCATCCACCATAGCAGTTTCTCCACCATGAAAGACGAGTATGACTCACTTTCCATTTTTCTTCAAGTGCTAGAAGAAAGGCTTTCTTGTGTTCTCTTTCTTGCAACTTCTCCCTTTCCTCATCAAAATCTTCTTTTTTGTCTGGTGCACCAATTAAGTGCAGTTTTGAGACAGATATCACCCATGGATCCACATGTGGGCGATAAAAAGGTATCTGTAGTGTTATTTTGCCAATGAAACCTAGATATACAAAACAGAGATGCTATCAGATTCCTATGTAAACATCCTTTATCACGCTTGGAAAATCTGAAAGAAAAAGTGGCATAAGAAATAAACAGGCTAAAATCAGAATCGCAGATGCTTTGGCGTGGAAGGGACCTTTCAAGGCCATCTAGTCCTACTCCACTGCAGTGAGCAGGGACATCTACCACTAGATCAGGTTGCTCAGAGCCCCATCCAATCTGATCTTAAATGCTTCCAGGGACAGGTCATCTACCACGTCCCTGGGCAACCTCTGCCAGTGGTGCAGGAGTGCCTCACCACCCTCATTGTAAAAAATTTCTTCCTTATATCCAGCCTAAATCTACCCTCTTTTAGTTTAAAACCATTGCCCTTGTCCTATCGCAACAGGCCCTGCTAAAAAGCCTGTCCCCATGTTTCCTGTAAGCCCCCTGTAAGTACTGAAAGGCCACCATAATGTCTTCCCAGAGAGGGGAGCCTTTTCTTCTCCAGGCTGAACAGCCCCAACTCTCTCAGCTTGTCCTCACCGGAGAGGTGTTCCAGCCCTTGGACCATTTTTGTGCCCTCCTCTGGCCCTGCTCCAACATGCCTGTCCTGTGCTCAAGGCTCCAAAGCTGGACTACCCGAAGAACAGGTTATCTCATTTGTTCAAGATTCTGACTCACAGGTAAAGGTTATTCCAAAATACATCATACTTCCTCTTTCTAAATATTTGTTCTGCACACACAAGCAAAATACAAACCTGCCTTTACTTCAAATGGTAATTCCAATTCCTTTAAGGCATCTTTTTTTAGTGGCAAGTTTTCCAATTCAACAGCACCTATACAAAACAGAAAAAAAGACAAGTCTGTTAAACAAAATTATGTTAAAGAATGTCAACTTGAACATTGTAAGCCCAAAATGACTAGAATCATGTTTTAAAGAAAAAAAAATCACATAGGATTTCATGAGAACAGCCAACCTGCCATATCAAGTTGTTACAAGTGCAATGATTATTTAACATATTTGTTAATTTTCCAATGCCATTTGCTCAAACTGTTTGATGAGGTCATCTAGAAGCAATCTTCTGCAAGGTTTTAGATCCGAACTTTATTGTAATATCTTTTCAAAAGAGATACTTCAAGTATTTTCTCAATATGACAAAAAGCACGCACAGAATTTAAAGTGTTATAAAATATTCTCCTCAAAAATAGCACGTAATAGCTGCAAAAGCTAAATTAGAAAGCACTGATTTGTGGACTCTGTAACAAAGTACAAGACTCGTGAACATAACATGACATAATATGACATAAACCTGAAGTCTTCAATTACAGAGGAGTAACTACTAGCACCAAAACGTACGAGGTAAAGACTACAGGATATTTCCTGAACAGTATTAAGAAAAATGACACTCCAATATCACACAAATTAAACATGCTGATAAGATAAGCTAAGCATACTTTTGAAAGTTTCATATAAATTGGTACAAGTGTTGATAAAAAGCAATAAAGCTCAGAACACAAAAGAATTTACTATTCGTTATAAAGTGCTAGCACAAAACTCTATATTAAAAGGGTTTCTATAAATGCTAAACACAGTATTAAGTGATTATTTCTAGTCCACTTCCAATTATCACAAAAACACAACACTTTTTTTTTTTCCAAATCACTTCTGTATGAAAACACTACAGAAAATACCACAAAGCCTCACCCTTTAGAAGAGCAACTGAAAGCTGGTCTGTGTTCAGGTTGTTAACGTATTTGCCCAAATAGGTGTTGAGGACCCAGGCTACCAATCCTTCCAACATGACTGTCCTAGAAGAAGGCAACTAACGTTTTTCTGTCATTTTCTGGATTTCTGTTCCATAACTACAGTCTCGCTCTGAAAGAAAAAACATGAAGAAAATGACTAAAATATACACTCTCAGCAGAGCTGACACATTGCTATCACTGTAATTCTTACTGTAATCAATCTAAAAAGCAGTAAAAAACACTAAGCTTGATTTCTACCTTAAAGAAATGCTTTATGCTATGCCCTTTACACCTCAAATCAGAGTTTCATATAGAGCTTTGATGATTACAGACCACTCCCATTTGCAAACTAAATTCCTCTTCCCACCCTTTTTCTAACCAAAACACCACGTTTTCTTGTAATAATCACAAAGTCAATTGACAATCCCCTTGCAGAAAAGGGAAGACTAAAATTCTACTTTGATTGAAACACTTTTGCACTGGCATCCTCAACTTCCGCTGCCAGTACTTTCTTCAAGTTTCAAGCATTCTGGTTTTGGAAGCCTGGTCTAAATTATAGCCCAGAGCCTTCGACTGTATTTTTGTAGAATTCTTATACAACATCTGTGAAACAACTCACCCCTTTTTCAAGAAGCGCATATGCGTGGGAAGGAATTAGACACAAGTCCCATAAATAGCTCATCATCAGTTACTCTAACAGGTTTTCAAACTGATAGCATAGATTACTACATCAAGGAGCGGGAAAAAACCTACATTAGAAAAGCAACACTGGTCATCCATGTAAACAATTCCCTTCGTACTCTTCTCCAACCATTTCTGTTTCAATTTATGTGATAATCATACCATTAAAATACCTAAGTGCCTGTTTAAATTTTTAACCAGTGAATTGCAAAACTACTATTAGCTTCTGCAAGGGCAGGATGAAGCTTGTTATTATGGTAAGGTAAAAAAGCACACAGGCCACATCTTGTGGTTAGAATGCAGCAGATGTGTCGGTTCTGTTTAGAAAAGTCTCCCAACCCCACGTACCTCCCTACACCAGTGTATGTAAGCTTGAGTTCTACAGAGCAGAAAAGCAAGATATATCAGACCTATTTACATGTGATAACAGAAGAAAACGACAACTTCAGGAGCTACATTTTAAATATAGATTCAGGGTTTTCCCATAATGAGATTTGCTTGATTTTAGGCACCTCCATTTAAGCCTTTATTGCTTTAAAAAGAAAGGCAGTGAAAATATTTAATTAATGCAGTTAAATAAAATAACCAGAATTCAGCAATTAATGAAAGGCTTTTCCTAACAGATGAGAAGTGAAACTACGCTATCATGCGGAATGAAACACAAACATCATAAATAACACAGGGAAATTACATACAAATGAGGCGTATCTTCATGTTAAATGCGCTTACATTTTTATCTTTGTAAAACTTCTCAACAGTTTTCAAAAACAATAGCATTCCACATAATAAAGACGGAGCGTTTGTACATATGTGCCACCACCTTACACTATAGGTTTTTAGTCTAATAAAATTGACAAAAAATTTGAAGTTCAAACAAAAGCAAATACAGTAATCCCTGTCATGTTACCCTTTAAAAAATAAGTAAATAGAACCAGAAATCTACAGGTGTCAAGACCCAAATCCGAGGAAAGATCCTGAAGAAACATTCAGAAGCACAAACAGGTTAGCATCCCAGTGACTGAAAACCTCCCGTGCACAAACACTTTCACACTTGAAGTCATCATCAGAACAGTAAACAAAGCAATCACCTCCTTAATCTAAACTTGTAAAACATAAATAACTATTTAGGAATCTTTAAAATGTTTTAAGGCTTTTATGCCTGTAACTTTCTAGTCCATTGTTGTATCACTGGAAAGAAAAACTAAACACTTATTTTCTGTGACAGTGTTTTTATTTCCTTTGCATACAGAGCAAAAAAGAAATGGCAAACGCTTATCGGGACGAGAATCAAAGTCCATACCAGGACCTCACTCAAAGCTGGTGCATTTTTTCTGGAAAAACGCGCAGTTTTTCCAGCGGGGAGGACGAGGCGGGCGCTGGAGGAGCGGGGCCGGGTTCAGCCTGCCAGAAGCAGCGGCCAGGAGCCGGATGCACTTCCCTGTCATCGGACAGGGAAACGGGGGGGAAGCCGTTTTACCCCGCGCTCGGTCACACGAAAAAAGGGCGGGGAGCAGGCTCCAGGCCGCCGCGCTCCC